CTTTCTTCTTGTTCACTTCCTTGTGCACCTTTTTCCTTCACACTTCCTTTGCTTCAAGTTACCTTGTGTCAGAGTTTATGTGAGGAAGATGCCTCTTTGTATGGGGTGAATAGGCAGAGAAGGGTTACAGCAAGCAAAGAGTAGCAAGAGGAAAGGAGAAAAAGAAGAAAAGAAAAATAAAATAAAATATACAAAGACTAAATTGTAGAAGAAAAGCAAAAGGAAGAAAAAGAAGAGTAAGAGCAGCAAAAACAAAGGGGGGAAGGGAGATTAATAGAAGGAAGTTGAGGAACAGGCAAGAAAGAAGACAGGAAGGGCAGATGTGAGTGATAGAAGAGATATTGTTTTTCAGCACAGTGCTAAGGGCACTCCTATAGCTGTAAGGGTTGTGAGGATCTGAGTTGGGTTGGTTTCTCAAAAATAGGCCATCCTTACTTGTCAGCCCACAGCCAGACTGTTCCTCTGTCAAAAATTAGGAAGAGAAGAAAAAGAGCAAACACAAGACCCAAGAAGAAGAAATTAGATAAGGAAGAAAGAAAAAAAAAGAAAAAGAATAAAAAAGTAGAAAAGTTCTGTAACATGATCTTCCTATTTCTTTCTTCCCAGGGTGAACATTAGAAAGTTCTCCTGGCCTCTTTGAGCCAAGCTACTGCTGCATTCAACCTGCTAGGCCTCCCCTGTGTCACATCCACCTTCAGAAAGGAAAGGGTGGGTAGTTCTCTACCCACCCTTTCCTTTCTGAAGGCATACATATATATATGCATATATATATACATATACATATATATATATACACACACACATACATAAGGGGAAAGTAAACATACCATTGGATCAAATTAAGGGAAGGGAGTAAGTAGGGATAAAGAAAGCAGAAAGGCAACAGACCAAGAAAAAGACAAAGTCAAAACAAGAAATGGGGTTGGGGTTATATCTTGGTTGATGCCAAAGTACTTTATGTGGGAGATATGGGATGAGTAGAATTGACTTTCTCAACTTAGAGAATGCAGTGGGGTGTCCTAGAGTGAGAGAATAGTTCAAGCTAGAATTCAACAACCAATACCAAAAAAAAAAAAAAAAAAATTAAACGAATATAGAAGTCCTTGCTCTTGTTGAATGTAAACATGGAATGTAGGAGAAGATCCAACCTTACAACTTAGCAAAAAGCAAAGCACATAGAAAGAAGATACTAGAAAGAGAAAAGAAAACAAAACAAAAAAACCCTCTAAGCCTGATGTAAGCACTCTCATCAGCCAATTGAGGTAGGGTTGAAGAGAGGAAAAAAATAAGAATAATGTAAGCTAAATTAAAAATAAGAGAGAAAAAAGGCAACAGTAATCAAAAAATCAAAAAATATATATACACATATATATGGTGTAGGGATTCAATTTCTGTAGTATACTTATGTCATAGTATACTTCCTGGACACCAGGTGGCACTGTGAATTTGGGGGACAAACCACACATCTATTTACTCCTCTCTGGTTCCTAGGCTTACAGTAGTTTGCCAGCTTATTTGTTCCTGGAGATGGCTGGTCCATCTCAGCACTCAGTCCCTACAGATTTAGTTCTCAACAGTTCCTCAGCAACAGGCTTATGCAATCATCCACACGGGGAGCAGAGGTCCCTGGGCCTGTTCCAACTGAAGGACCATTCCCCACAGATGGCGTCCAGACTACTTCACCCTAGGTCTCCAGCAAGAGGTTGGCTGGCACTATGGCATGCCATTTTCCACAATGGAGTGTCCCTGATTGGGAACTTTACCCCCCTACAGATGTGTATCCCACTGCCAATCCAGCAGTGAGGCTACACTAGACAGCACCCCAAATTCCGTTTGGAAGTGTCTACTTCTTCAAACTTTTCAGAGTTCCTGAACCTGATACAGGGAAAGGGCCACTTCCCGCTGGCACCCAGCAAGATGTCCGCTTATGCACGCTACTGGTGCCCTTTGCTGCAATGGCTTTTCTCTGTCCAGGAACTTCTCCCATGTGGATGCTTCATTAGTTGCCACCTGCATTAGAGCCACTCAAGCCAGCAATCCAATCTAGCCCCCAAATTCCACTCAGGAAAGCACCATATAGTCTCCCAAATTAAGCATAAATGGCCAGAAATTTTCCCCTCGGATTGCGGTACAGCAGCCCTGTGACAACTGCCCGCCTACCACCTCTGCATTCTGGGCAAGCCCGCTGAAACTTGCCCAAATGGGAAAGTTTTCCACAGCTCCAGCCCAATACAGCTGTTATTTCTATGCTGCATACTCCAAGCCATCGCTGTACATCATTATTCCACTCTGGGTCCCATCCAGCCATCTTCCTCTGCCCTTTTGCTCTAAGAAGGCTCAGCTAAACGTCCTTCCTGTCTGCGATCATGCTCCACTCCTTCCTATTCTGATTTGCATTTCTCAGATGATTACGGAGTATAAGCATTTTTTCATGTAAATGTTGGCCATTCTTCTGTATTCTTCAGAGAAGTTTTGGTTCAAGTCTCTTGCCTACTTATAAACAGGATTTTTTGCTTTTTTCTTGTTGAATAGTTTGAATTCTCTATAGATTCTAGTTATCAACCCTATGTCAGATTCATAGCATGTAAATGTATTTTCCTATTCTGAAAGTTGTCTATTTCCCTTAGTTGTTGTATCCTTAGCTTTGCAGAAGCTTTTTAGCTTGATTATGTCCCATTCATTTATTTTTGGTGTTGTTGTAATTGCAAGGTGGTCTTTATAAATTCTTTGCCCAGGTTTATAGTGTCAAAGTCTTTCTAACACTTTCTTCTAGAATTTTTATGGGTTATGACTTAAATTTAAGTGTTTTATCCAGGATGAGTAAATTTTTTGCAAGTGTGAGAGGCACAGGTTTAGTCATCTGCATGTGGCTAAACAGTTCTCCCAGCACTATTTATTAAATAGGAATTCTTTCCCTCAGGGCATGCTTTTGTTTGATTTGTCAAAGATAAAATGCCAATATGCAGCTGAGTTGACCTGTAGATTCTCTATTCTATTCCATAGATCTATATCTCTACTTTTGTGGCAGTACCTTGCCATTTGGTAACCGTTAGTATAACCTAAAGTCTGGTAATGTGATGTTTACAGATTTGTTTTTATTTCTTAACTTTGTATTGACTATTTGGGGTATTTTATGGTTTCAAGTGAAATGAAGTACTATTTTTCCAAGTTTATTGTAATGTAACATTGGTGCTTTAGTGGGGATTGCACTGAATATGTAGATTGTTTTGAATAGTATAGACATTTTAGCAGTGTTGATTCTTCCCAGCCAAGAGCATTGTGTGTTCCTCCATTTGTTAACATCTTCTGTTATTTCTTTTCTCAGGGCTTCATAGTTGTCTCTGTAGAAATCTTTCCTGTCCTTTCTTAGGTATATTCCAAGGTATTGTATTTTCTTTGAAGCTACTGTGAAGGGTATCATGTCTTTTGTTTGTTTGTTTTTGTCACCCTCAGTAGAGTGCTGTGGCATCGTATCTCACAGCAACCTCAATGTCTTGGGTTCAAGTGATCCTTTTGCCTAGTTGGCTGGTGGTATGCAGTAAGGGTTGGCTGGTAGTATGCAGTAAGTTGAAAAACAGAATGTACAAACCAGCATTGCCACCAAAAGTTAATACAGAATAAAGTTCAATACCCTAGAGAATTTATAAGGAAATGGAAGAAAGAGCCAAAGGAAGAGAGACCATTAGAACAATAGTGCACTTTATGATTCCATTATTATTTGTTTTCTGATTATAAAATAATGTACTTTCATTATAGGAGATGTTAACCATAGAAATTTATTAAGAAGAAAGCAAACGTTCTCTAATTCTACTGTCCAGACTTACCCAATATTTATTTTTACTTATATAGCTTCTTTATGCTTTTCTTTTAAAAAGTGTATTATACAAGTAAGATACAGCATCATGATATTTAAAGCATTCAAACAGTATAATAATGGATTATGTAAAAAGAAAAGTCCTCTTCCCACCCTCTCTCACTAATAACAATTTATCTGATAATTCACAATTAAAAATACTGATGTTGTCTTCATTCTGAGTATACAAATGTGCAATGTGTGAAATATATATTCTATTTACCATAACGATGTCATAATGTGGTAATATTTTTTATCCTGCTTTTTTATTTTCCATTTAGCTTGCTATCTGAGTAACATATACCATATATATCTCCATTGCAACTTAAAGATTCTGAGCATGAAACTATTTCAAAAAGCTTGACCTGGCACCTCTCCCCATGCCAGCCCATGCTCTTAAATTTCTGAGTATACATAGACAAGTGCCTATAGCAGTAGATGAGGGCCTTTTCCAGGGAATCATACATTTATCCTGTGTATATGCTTCTAATTTAGACTATTTGACAGCCTGTCTTAGAGGGGAAGGTATGTTTACTGAGTAGAAAATGTCAAAGACCAATGGTTTGGATACCATTATTATTGTCTACTAGCTATCTTTTAAAAAGAAAATGTTTTGAATAACTTTGTGGTATATATTTTTTCTCCTTTAGAGATAAGAAAACAGGTGTCCAGCCAGGGAGAAGTCATTATTTAATATCACAAAGCTAGTATGTAGTAAAGCCTGGATCAAACAAAGTCCTGTTTGAGTTAGAGCCTATATGTTTCTTCCTTTACCATCTCAGTCTCACTTTAGGATTTCTGTAGAATTATTTACAGAATAATTTGCTGAAAGTATACTGCATTATTGAAAGCTGCTAAGTGAGATTTTAAGTGTTCTCACAAAAAAAAATAGTATATGAGATAATACATATGTTAATCAGCTCAATTTAGCTATTACACAATTTATACATATTTCAAAATATGTTGCATACTACAAATGTATACAACGTTTATTTGTCAATAAACGAAAAATGTGAATGACAGCATGCTTTCAAAGTCATTGTCTCATGTTTTGATTAAAACTTTAATAAAATTTGCATGTTCTGTTCTCTCTTGTATCCAGCATCTCCTCTCTAATTTCCTTTGTTTCCACATACTCCTTTTTTAGGAGAGAAGCCTTATAAGTGCACCTGGGATGGCTGCTCCTGGAAATTTGCTCGCTCAGATGAGCTCACCCGCCATTTCCGCAAGCACACAGGCATTAAGCCCTTCCAATGCCCAGACTGCAGCCGCAGCTTTTCTCGTTCTGATCACCTGTCTCTTCACCGCCGACGCCATGACAACACGTGAACAGCATAGGCCTTATTAGTGGAACTGTAATGATCTCTTTTCTGTGTTTGTGCTGAGGTCAAGACTATGTTTTTCTCTTTGACTTCAACGTGTTTCTGGGACAGAGTTGATGGAGACTGGAGGAAACTGCTTGTCTCCCATGGGGCTGTTCATATTCCTTCACCTCTCCACTCCCCAGACCCCAGTTTTTCAACCTCTACATGGGTTGAATTCTAGTGTGGCACCCATGGATGCTGGGCCCCAATCGTCTCTGCTCTGAATGGGACATTTTTCCTATAGTGACAAAACAGGGATCAAACTCAAGGCTGTGAAATAACATTCATTGCTTTTTTTTTTTCTCATTTTTTATTTTGTTTTCTAGAAGTCTCATCCATATATATTTTATCAGTACTGAAAACTGGTTGATAGTGTCCTAAAATGACTTTTCTCAAGTTCCTAAATGGCAGGGGCATAACAATGTAGTTGTTTGGTAAGAGTTATAAGGATTTGAATCCTGAGTATGGGGAACATTGTCAGTGAATAAGCTAAGCCCCATACTAAACTCAAAGATTTCTTTTTTCAAAGGTTTTATAAATCCAATCCCATTTCTTTTTAAAGCTGGTTTTCAGATAATGCTGATGGTTCTGCTTCTTAAGTCCATCAAGAGAATGAAGAGATCTTATCTATCTCCCCCATCTTCCTCTTTCTCCTTTAGGATTAAAGATTTTGCTGCACAATTATATTCTTTGTCAGGTAAAATTTGGACAAATACTCAAAGCACACATAAACCTGTCAGTAGGGGGAAAATTGTTTTCAGAATAGTACATTGGACAGTGACAAACAGATCTGGGACTATCCTGAAAACACACAGAGGGGGACTTTAATTTGCATAGGATATCAAAAGTGCTTTTAATCAAAAACCTCACTCAAATAGCAGCCTGTTAAGACAATGTCTTAAGGGGTTGTGCTATACTGTTTATTCTTTTGTTTACATAAAGCAACAGTTGAATACATTGTGTGATGATAAATCACATACTGGGGCAGTGTGATATGGAAGTGATGGATTGGAAAGAAGGAATTTTGTTTATTCTGCAGCATTATTGGCATTCATTACTGTGTTTCAAAATGGAATACAAGAGGCTTTTCTTGAAACTCACACATAAAAAACAATTTAATGTTCTGCAACTGCTATGACCACCTCAGCCATTTCTTTTACCCATTACAGCATGTTGCATAATATGCACATTCCGTTACCCAGTCAAATTGTTTTGTAATATTGTCTGGGGCATAAACAACAATCCCGATTGCAGATCTACCTCTACATGGAATATTTCCAGTCCTGGGCTGGGTGGTGGTAGTGGAGGGGGTTTTAAGTTACTTGGATTTAAACTCAGCCTTTTTTTTAAAGGTTGTGTTTGTATTGAATCCCTTTTCTTTGGCAGATATTCAACCAGTCCTGGTTGAAATACTTTGTTTACTACCTCCTGAGACCATTCATTATGACTAAATCATAGAACTCTAGTACCAAGAAGGGATCCTGTTAGACTTCCTGTTCTACCTATCCCTCATATTTTACAGCTGAGACAAATATGGGTCAGATTCTCTAGATGTTTCCTTAAGGCCTTATAGACTTGCAAATGCATTCTCCCAGGGATCACATTATTAAATCAAATTAAAGAAAACTTTATGAAATTGGTTGCAATATTTGCTCAATTTTATGTTATACTTCAGAATACTTTAGATCACTAAAAAATCATTTATAGATGATTAAGTAGCAAGTAGAATGTACTTTCGGTCATTGCTATATGATACCAGGCACACAGTTTTCTATTTTAATGCCTCTATAATATCTAGATTTTGTTTACCTCATTTCAACTTGAAATGTTTTTCTAGACCATAAACTCTCCATAATGTCAAGAACTTACTGTATTTTTTAAATGACATTTTTACTATTGTCAGTGTCATTTTTGATCTAGACATTTCCCTGATTTTTGGTGTGCAACTATACTAATTGCTAAAGCACTAGGAAATATCTAGGGCAAACCAGTCTGTGTAGCTGTAAGATGGATTGATAAAGGTGAATTACCACAAGTTTATTGTTATAATTGAGTAGTTTGTACAGTATTTCACAGAACAGCGCAAGGGCTCTCCACATTTTCTTCACAGTTTGGATTCTGAGACTCCTTTTCCAGAGTTTAGAACTGACCTGGGTCCTTCAGATCCCAGAATCTTTTGTATTGTGACTTATGAACTATTTATTATTCAAGGCTGTCAAATATACTGTTATAGGTAATTAACATGATCAAATTATGATCCCAAATACTGGTGTCCCTGTATTCTTGAGCCTTTATTCACAAAATTTTCAGCAAAATCATAAGACACTTTGTAAATACTTTGTTAATTGTTTATATTCAAGAAGTAACTTTAACCCTGTTGTCATTGCCCTCTCCCCTCCAAAGATGTTAAGATCAATTACTTACATATGCTTTAAGAAATGTGTCAACATTTATGAAGAGAATTTAATAGAGTGCAGGAATTCAAATACAGCACAGAAAAGAGTTACCATGCCAAAAATACATAAAATTTTGCTAGATAGTAAGACAGACAGGAACTAAATTACATCTTTCTCTGGTAGCATTTGGGTTTAATTGAATTTGCTATGCTTATACCAGAAAACCACTGTTAGTGTAGACAGTTGCCTAAGATACGGGAAATACCTTTGTTTGATAGGGGTAGGTAATATTCTGGGATTTGTTGCCATGGGATACCTCTGTCTGTAGATAATTGGCAGTTGAATGTAACTTGATAATTATAAAATTTAGGAAAACTATAAAGAATGTGAACTGGTTGACTAGGTTAGGTGGAGTACATTATGAGAAAGACAAAAGATTGTGATAGCAACTCCTTTCTAAATGAACTTTTCATTTTGGGACAGTTTCAGAGTTACAAAAATATTGTGAAATATTAGAGAGAGGTCCTATGTACCCCACACCCAGTTTACCCTATTATGGTACATTTGTAATAATTAATGAAACAATATTATTATGTTACTATTAACTGAAGTCTATACTTTATTCAGATTTCCTGAGTTTTTAGCTACTACAGTTTGTTTAGTATCCCATTCAGCATACTACATTAATTAATTAATTAATTTATTTATTTATTTATTGTTGGGGATTCACCGAGGGTACGAAAGACTGATTACACTGATTGCATTTGAAATCCTATGTACTCAATTCTGATATGAGGCAAATTAATGACCACATTACAATTAGTAATTATATCTTCTTACACTCCTCGTGACTGTGACAGTTTCTCAGTTTACTTGTTTTGAATGAACTTAACAGTTTTGAGGAATATGTTCCTCATTGATTTTTTTTTTTTGAGATAGATTCTTACTCTGTTGCCCTGGGTAGAGTGCTGTGGCATCATCATAGCTCACAACAACCTCATTCTCTTGGGCTCAGGCAATCCTCTCCAGTAGCTGAGCCTACAGGCACCCACCACAATGCCAGGCTAGTTTTTTTTTTTCCAATAATGAGTTATACATCACACCCCTGAGAGCATCTACATAAATTATTTGGAATTTTTCTGCCTGCGAATTTTTTGTTTTTCCCCATGTATTTATTTATACTATCATCTATTTATATTAGCATAGACTCATGGATATTTACTTTGTACTTTGGGTTATAATCCAATACTCTTTCATTTATTTTGTTGCTCAAATAGTTCCACCTTTGACTATTATTGGTTCTTTTGAATTGACTGTCAAGTTTATTGTACATATCCCATCAGTTTTTAGAATGTCCCTACTTTCTGCCACCAGAAAATGCTGCAGACTCATTTTATATACATATTTTGTGCACTGCTACAATCAGCCCTTTCTTTAAGAAATCCTAATTTCTTTTACTGGAGAATTAGAAACTAAAATATGTAATTAGGTGTCCTTATTGCTACTGGAATATTCTTGCTTCTTAGGAAATGTATGTGTATATAGTAACCTATGTGTGTATATATATATATATATATACACACAAATATTTCTACAGTAATCATTCTTACATTTAGTTAAACATGAGTTCATATTGATAGCTTCAACTATAATCCATTATCATATGAATATTTATAGCTTTTTTCTTACATACACGTAAACCTTGGGGCTCAAAAAAAAAAAAACCTCCAAGCTCAGCAGTGTCTGGCTCCCAACTCCTATTAGTTAGTTGCTCAAGTTAAATATATATATACACATATATATATATACATATATACACACATACATATATATACATATATATGTATCTCAGTACTTGAATTGTTAACAAGTATATGTGTGAGAAATATCTTTAAAATTAGAGCACAATGTTTAGGTACATGATGGTAACATTTTTAGAACTCCAATAGCTCTTAGAAACAAGATGGTCTGCATAATTTTGGAATTAGGGATTTCTGTGACCCAAGTTCCAGGAATCTAGGGTCTATCCTGCCTCTAGAAGTTTTCTCATGAATCAAAATATTCAAAGTTTACCTAATCTTGAATAAGCTAAAGAAATTTATTGATCATCTACAGTATGCTAATCCCTATTTGAGAGGTACTATAGTGGGATGGACACAGAAGAAACTAAGTGGGCCAATTTTTAAAAACACACAGCACTGTGTCTTTTCTCACTGCTAAATATGGCTCTTTGACAGCAAGAGGTACTACCCCAAGTTACCTCTTTTCTACGTTTTCCCAATCTCTCACATGGTTGCGCTTCAGCAAGTTGCATCACCTCTTTGTGCTTCCTTTAATCTATCTGCAAATTTCTATCTCCACATTTCTACCTCACAAGAATGTTGTGAGGATTCTCATTAGTGGATGTTGACCAATAAAATGATGAGAAATCTTTAAATAAACAACAAAGTAATATAATTATTACTATGATGATAATCATAGTATGCTATACTTTATGAAAAAGGAGATTAGGAGTCTTAGATGATAAAGAGATAAATTTGATTCAGTAAGAAGGATAATTAAAGAGTGGCCTCTGAAAACAATATTGTTCTTCTCCTACTATCACTTTCCCCACATCATTGCTATTTAGTTTTTTTGAGACAGTGTCTCACTCTGTTGTCCTGGTTAGAGTGCCATGGCTTCAGCCTAGCTCACAGCAATCTCAAACTCTTGGGCTGAAGAAAT